TTATAGATAATTATAAATATTTACCTGTGTAAGACCAGGAACCTGTGAAGTAATAACAAATTGTTGTCCAGCACCTGTGGTAAGAACATTGAGTCCTTGAGCAGTAGCAAGAACTTGTTGCAGATTAACTGTTTGCTGAGTTGTGCTTCCATTGCTTCCTCCACCCCCATTAAGGGGCGGTAAAATAGGTGCAGTCTGCTTATCACTCATTACACATTACACTATTAAAACAAATTACTGATAAATATTATTAAATTATATAAATATTATTAAAAAGATAAAAATTATTTTAATTTTATATGAAATAATTTTTAATAAAAAAATAAAATAAATACATATTAGAATTTTTTCAATATTGACAATGCATATATCATTTAAATACAATTTTAAATATACCATAAAAATTTTTATTTATCACAGTTCAAATTTAAATTTAAGTTATTTATAATTAAATTTTGGAAAACCTAAAATAATAAATATTTATACTTTTTTATAATAAAAAGAATGATTAAATATTGTTTTTTTTTAATTTTGATGATAAAATAATAAAAATTATATAAATGTTTCAATTTTTATATCTTATATTTATCAAAAGAATTTTTAAAAATTTTTTTCTTTAAATTAAATTAATATAAAAAAAACTATTTTAGATTAAAAAAAAAAACAAATGAAAACAAACAAAAGGAGCAAATTAAAAATTAAAAAAATTGAAAAATAATTTCAATTTGTCAATTGTATGCAATATTATATTAAACTGCACATTTTTTTGACAATTATATGTTTATTTCATATTAAAAAAATATACATATAAAATTAATAATTAAAGAAAAACATATATAAAAAATAAGAAATTAAAGCTTCACAGATTGGTAATAAGTTTATTTTTCAATTTCTTAAAATATATGAATAATTTATTATCGAATTTTAGGTCAAATATATACATTTCAACCTTATTCTAAGTAAAATAATTTCAATGAATCAAAATGAGAATGTTAATTGATTTGTGAAAAAAGCGCCGAAATCAAAATTTCTCCGTTCACAACTGATACACCACATTGGAATTTATAAAACATGCGTATTGCGCAAAAGAAAAAATATCCTTCAAAATACAACAACATGAACTTTAAAAATGTATCTACAATCAACTGAATAGTGAAACGAACAATGTCATTTAGAATATCAAAAGATTGCAACGAATATGCAAACGTCCAATATATCAAGCATTCAGGGCGTTCAAGTCTTCTTATTAGAAAAATATCAATTTATCTTAATCTAATAATAATAATTGTTACACCAGTCTATTAGTTAAACTTTTTGATGATAAAAAACAACTTTTTCGATCTTTTGAAGTGTTTCGCTTTCCGAAAGAATACATTTTTCATAATTGCGTCAGTGGAGCCTCGCGGCGATACAAAGGAAATTTTTCGTCCGCCATGTTGGCGTTGGTCTGATAGGAGGGCGGACTTACCATACTGTAATCACAAAATTCTGCAATGTAGGTGAGCCATCCACGAAAATAATTGTTACACTCGTGATCGACGAGCATTAAATTGTAATTAGGTACTTCACGTAATATACAGTGCATGAGCTATATCTAATATTTTACAGAACATCGTCGCTCGACTCGCTCAAGGACGCACACACTTCTAAACATGGCGACGGTTCCCGACAAATTTCGACCGCGACCAGATCGTGAGCTGCTTGCTACTTCACGTTTACACAAGCCACGGAGAGATGCCGCTTCAACTGAGTGCTGAATCTGCGATTGGTCAAATGCAACCGGATACTTGGCAACGTGGCAGTATTAAACGTTCCTGATTGGTTACTGGTAAAAATATTAAAAGGACTTGTTTTCCGACTAACAAATCAAATCAGCAACTATTATTTCTGAATGTAGATATACATTTTACAAAATCTATTGTTATATGTATTGCTAATATATGAAAATTATTAATAAAAGAGTATTACAGTTTATTTCTTTATGATAAGAATTTAATGTATAAAAAACATTATTGAGATAAATAAAATAGTTTAATGAAATTATTTGCAAAATAATTAATCTTTCACGAGATATTCATAAAATAAATATTTTTATATAGTTTAATATTGAAATTAAAAGATTTTATAAAAATAAATTATTATTTTTCTTCCATAATGATTTTATATAATGGTATATACGATCGACAAATATAGGCATACATTACATACAGTATTACATCACTTTACATTCCTGGGATCGCCGTTATCCAAATATTTCGATCCAATTTATAGTGAAAATAAATTAATACCATGAAACTACATATATGTATCTATTTTCATATATCTTTTTCATTTAATTAACTATGCATCACGTGTTTATAAAATTAGATATTTTTCATTATTTTTTTTTGATTATAATTATTATTTGTAAAATTAATTAATTAATTAAAATAATTTTCTATGTAAAAAATAAATTTTTTTTATTCAATAAACTTATCTTTCAATAAATTGTTATTTTAAATAAAAAAAAATTTTTTGTTATATATTTTTTATAAAGTAAATTTATGAGAATTTAGAAAATTTAGAATATATTCTAAATTTTGATATTTTATAATTGATGTAATATGGTTGCCGCGTTATATACACTTAAAGGTACCACGTGCTACTCACAATTGTTATAATCGTTAATATTACAAATATAAGCAAGTATAAGTTCAAAAAAGGAGATTTTTACTTACATTTTCGTTGATCTTCATTTTGTATCTTCTTATATTTGTGAATTTGTGTATTTTCTAACCAAAATCAAAGAAATATTTATCTATATATTGAACACATGCGCAACTTCTCGTAATACAACGTATGTTAGACACATTTTTAAATGTAATGATAAAGTTCCAGTAAGTTTTCACAAAGTAAATCATAATTGTATATAGAATATATCGTATATAAATCATAACTAAATAAAAAGTGAAATTTAAATACATTTGAGTTCATAATCTTTTTTTCTGATTCTACTTGATTCTACTATGTTTAACGAAGTACCTGTTTGTGATACGTACAATCGTAAGAATGACGCTGAGGTCATTTCGATACTCAACGCATCATCTTTTGAGTACCACCGTTATATTTACATTGATCTACGTAGTATACGCGATAATAATTTGAAACTTACTACTACTAATAAATAGAAAAAGATAAAAATTTTATTAAATTAATGTAGAATAATTGTAAATTTTTATATAAATATTTTAAAATTAGATTATTTTTTTTCATAATTATTAATTATCTGTACTGTTAATCATAAATTTCTAAAAGATTGATTATTATGTTATTATATTGATTAAGCTAGTTTTAATTTTCCGGAAATTTATTAATTTTAATTATTAGTTAATTTTAAAAATAATAGATAAAGAAAGTAATGGAATTGAAAAAGTATGATATATAATAAATAAAGAGTGACTAGAATATCAATTATCATAAATATGACTAAACTAAATACAGCTATAAATTCGAAATTATCAAGCATCGTAATAGAACAATTACAACATAAACATATTTGTACTGTTATACAATTTATAGATGAAGATTCTGAAAAATTAGCATCTTTTACAGGATTGTCATTAAAGGTATATATACATATATAGATTTATTATTAAAAAAAAATAAAAATGAAAATTTTAAAATTAAATATATTATATAAACAATAATTTTTGCAAAATGTTGATTGCAAGGTTAAATAAGTTAATAATTTATAGGACATAATTGAAATTAAGCGAAATATTTGTAAAAAATATGGAGGTCTACTTAAAAATGCTTTTCAATTATTTGAAATAGAAGAAAAAAATATAATTTCTACAAACTTATCAAGGTATATAAATATGTTAAATATGAATATTCAGAATTCAAAATTAATATTAAATTTAATTGATTAGTTTAGATAATTTATTAAAAGGTGGTTTATATTGTGGTCAAATATATGAAATATGTGGTTTATCTGCAAGTGGAAAAACACAATTGTGTTTTTCAATTGCAATTAATATTGCACTTAAATCCAATAATCTTGTAAGATATATTGATACAAAAAGAGATTTTTGTGGTTCAAGAATAGAACAAATTTTATTAAAGAAAAATTATAATAAGCAGGTATGTATATATTTTATAATACTATAATAATAATTTAATAAGTTAAAATGAAATTGCTAAGCAAAATATATTTTTATTTTAATTCTAGGTTATAAATGAAACTATGGAACGTATCAAAGTATGTTGTGTATATAATATACATCAATTACTTAAAGTTTTACATTGGTTATCAATTAATTTAAAAGAAGAAAATGAAGAATGCCGTACAAGAATTATAATTATTGATTCTTTACCAGCATTAATTTTTAAATTTTCCAAAGATCATAAAACAACAATTATCTTAAATCATCTAGCAAATATTTGTCATTTTATTGCTAAAGAATTTAATTTGTCAATTATTAGTGTTAATTTAATTAGTCAATGGAATAATATTAATGAAGAAGGAACAAGTGCAAGTTCAAATGAAAATATTAATGATATTCTAATTAATCCTACTTTAGGAAAATATTGGGCACATGTTCCTAATACAAGATTATTATTAGAAAAACAGGAATTTGGAAACAGAAAAATTTCAATTTGGAATAGTTTTCAATTAGAAGCAGATCTTGCATGCACTTTAATTATAAATGATTCTGGTGTTTCATGTTCATAATATTAAGTAGATAAGGATTTTTTATTATTTTCGTTTTTAAAAATTATACAACTAGTATAAATATAAATAAATATTCAAATATATTATATGCTATATGAATTTTGTTATTTATAAGATATTCAATTAATGTTAATCTATAATAAATTATCTATAATATCTATAAATAAAATTAATTAATTTTAATGTTATTTTAATCTTATTTGATCATTGAAATTTTATTATTGATATATAATAAAATTATAGTAAAATTCTGATAAAATTTTAGACTTGCGTAGTAAAGTTTATGTTTACCGCTAATTTCAAAAATATAAGAATGTCGTCAATAACTTCCGGTGACGTAAGTATTGCAGTGTTGCCATATTTTTATATAATGTGAACAGTAGCATAACAGTTTATAATGGTTATATTAGATTAGAGTGTTTGTTAGAGTATATTGTTAATTAATTGGTAAGAACGATGGCTTCCTTGGTTGCAGATTATGGAACTTCCTCAAGCTCAGAAAGCAATAGCGATGATATTTCGGATAATGCCGATAACACGTAAGCTTTCACTATCACAAGCATGTTTCTCTATTGTTTGTTTTCTTCTTTTGTATAATTATAATTCCTTTAAAATCACAGAAATTTAAACTTTTAAAATGAATTATTATTACTACATCTTTAACATTATATTTTGCACAAAGGTATGTTTCTTTTTTTATAAAACAAATAACTTTATATATTTTCATCTATATTTATGAAATAAAAATTAAAAAAGATATATTTATTCCATAAATCATATGTTCTACAATATTAATGTTCTACAATCTATGCCATTATTTTTATTCTAATATTATTTTATTTTATTAAATGAAATATATAATATTTTTCATTTCTACATATACATTTTTCATTATTAATGATTTATATATTTACATATATGATTTTTCATATATAAGAATATTTAATCACAGTTAATACTTACACATCAAATTGAATTTGTTCTTTGTAATCTGATATTGCCTAACCCTTAGTTTTAAGGAAGAGGAAGAAGAAGATGATGAGGAAGAAGAAAATAATGAAAACAATGAAATATGTAAAACAGCTTCCAAAGAAAAACTTCCATTACCAACTCCAGATTTTAATGGCATACCTACAATGAAAACTTCAGTCTTCTCAAATCCATTTGTTGAAGCAGAAAAAGCAAAAAGTGCAATACTTGAAAAACATGTGAAAATGACTCCAACTCTTGATGATACAAAAATGATAAATGGTAAAAAAATTTGTTGGAATTATAGGAAAGGTAGATGCCGGTTTGGACATAATTGTACTTTTGCACATGATTCTGATTTACATCGTACAGCAACTGAATTAGAAACAATTAGAACACCACAAGAAACAATTATTTGTCAAACTCCTTATAATGGTCAAGTTTCTATTAATGATGATGATGAAATAGATCAAGAAAATAATCAAATGAATAGGCGTAAGAAGAGGCCAGGATTAAGTCAATCTTTAATACCAAGCAAGAAAGTTTTAAAAATGTACAAAGCACAACAAGCTAAAGCTATTAGTAGGTAAATGTAATTATATCAAATATATATAAGTAATATTAACATATAATTAGCTGCTCTGAAATAGAAACAACTTATAACTTTTAAAACTCAAATGAATTCATAAAAATGGAATTGATTATAAGCTGCATAAAAAATAATAATCAAAAAGCATTAAAATGCTTTATAAACAAAAGAGCAAACTAAAAAATTAATCATTTCTTTATATATGAATAAAAAAATTAAAAAAATAAATAAAATGAAATGAAAATATATGCTTCCAAATAAAATTTTGCAGAGAACAATATATATGCAGATTATGCCTATTTCAAAATTCATGAAAGTTTCAAGATTATTTAATATTCAATATTTCTAAAAAAAGTGTTCGTCATGTATATAAAAAATAGAATTTAATTGTATAATTAATACTTCCAGGGACCTGTATAAGTGAATCATAATTCATTATGTCTTGCATGCAAATAGTTTTATAAATATATTTCTATTTATACTTGGTATTCTTAACTTGCCCATGAAAAACAAAACATGTCTTCTTATATTTTGTTATGTAATTTAATTATATGTTTATATATCTCTTTTATTAAAAAGAGGCCATTATTTAAAAGTTTTCTTTCATCAGAATTCTGAAGAATTTATAAGTAATAAGAAATAAATATTCTACCTAAATATTATATAAAATATCATTACAGCTTTAATAAAAATTTTTAGATACTGTTTAATGTACAGAATAAAAATTATCCATATAAAAGTGATGTGTATGTAAAGAAAGAATTATATAAGTTATGTACAATATTGTTAATATTTTTTCTTGATAAGTATTTAATATTTAATTTAGATATCAATAATTATGCAATTATAACAATGATATATGAAAAAAGAAAAAACAATTACGCTTCCACTATGCATTATTTTTTACATAATGTTATAAGATATAAAATAGGACTTTATAATTCTACATGGAAAATGGAAATATAAATGTTTATTAATTTTGATTTCATCAATGAAATATTATATAATTTCTGCCTTTAAATTTTTCCATTTAAATATTTTTATTAAAATTTTTTATGTTCTTGTATATTATAGAAATGTATATTTTATATACATTTTTATTTACATTTTAAATTTCATTAAGTATATATAAAATTGATATGTATGAAATATCTAACTCGTTTCTTTAAAATTTAATTTTGATAGATTAATATCATTGTCATAAATAATTAGGATTTCAATTTGATAAATATACTATGAAAGTTATTAAAAATAAAATAAAAATAAAAATATTTGCAAAAGAATTAGAAATATTTTATATTTTGTTTAGATAATTTTTTATTTAATAAGTTCTTTTTAAAATAATTTGTAAAAAGAATTATGACATTTGCATTCAAAGATTTGATATTCTAGAATAGATAATTCTTAAAAATAAGTAGATAACTTCAAAAATTATCTTAACAATAAAACTGTTAAGAAAAGTGTATAGAATCATGTGAAAATTACTTCAATTAAAAAATATAATTTTTCAAAAAAAAAAAAGTTTTATTTGCTAAAATGATTTTATGTGCATCAATTTAACAAATATAAAAAAAAAAATGAATTTATTAATCTAAAAAGCGAATGTAAAATTCGAAAATATTTATGCATCGAAAAATGTTATATTTTATAAGTTTTTCTTTTTATTAGTAATAAGTTTATGAAAAAATGTTTTAAAAGTAACAATAAATTTCAATGATCAAGAAATTATTGATTTTTATATTTTTCCTAATACCATATGAAAATGCAAGTAAGTTTTAATCTGAAAATAAAATTTTCTAATAATCTAAATCTTTTGATTAACATTAATTATTTAATTATTTATAAGCAAAGAGGAAAAGGAATCTCAAAATACAGAAAATGATAGGCACATGACATTTTATTACGATATTACATGAATACAATATGAATTCAGATCAATTATGTATGGTATAAGTGCATTGATAACTGATTATTGCATCTTCCATCGAAAATATATATTTATATATCATTCTTTTTTTTTTTCACTTCTGCGATTAAACATCTCACAGGCACTTTGTCTCTAAATAATAGTAAAATTTGTGATAAATGTTTCTATGTAAAATAAGCATATATATATAGTATATATATAACCATCACAGTTTACGTTCATTAAGTTATGTTCAATAATGAAACAATTTTTACTGTTAAATTAAATAATAAGCGTTTAGTAATGAATTTAAAATTAATGTTCTTTATAATCTTATAATAATCTTCTTTATAAAGACTACAACTCAAAAATTGATATTATTATTTAACCTAACAGCATTTCCAATAAATAAAGAATTTTGAATTTAAAATAAATCTTTATGGAAACACCTGTTAAGTATGTTTGACAAAATTTTTGTCATAACTATAATACATAACTCTGACAATACTGTAGAACAGTATAATCGTTAAACCATACTTTTCTTGATTACTTGTTGATATTTTTATTAAAAGATAAGTAAAATATTAGATTTATCCTGACATTTTATATCAGATTACTAATAATAATTTACTTAAAATTCATATCTGTTTATAATATGGACAACATTTTTTGTTTTCTACACTACAATTTATAAACTTAAACCTTTTCATATTTTAATGCAGAATATTACTTTTCTATTAAGATAATGTTAAACATTTCTAAAGGAAAGTATACTTCATACAGATCATATGTTCTTAAATAATTACATAGCTTAATATTTACTTATTGTATATTCCGTGTTACGTGTATTTTGTATCAGAATTATTTATAGTAATTTTCTTAAATAAAAAGATACTACAATACTCTAGATAAAATAATGAAATAGTGATGAAAAGTGAAATGAAGTGATTTAAATGTAAAAATGCTTAGTATATTAATCAATATCACTTGTTAAACAGATCGGTAAAAAATAAGTTACAGTCGAATTATTAAATACATTTCACACAGTATTAAATATGCACACAAGATTAATTAGAAAAGAGGTATTATAGTTTATAAATTTATCATCATTTATAAGTTTTAGAATCGAAATTTTGGATCGAATTAAGTCAGTGCCAATAAAATATTTAATTTTCTTTTTAAATTATTTAAGTAATTTGTTTTTTTATCATTGTCTAACACAATCAATTCGAAATTATCTTTGTTATATCTCTTTATACTCTTTTATTTTTAGAATCATCGTTCAATATAGTAGTAGAACTACTAGATTCTTGACTATTACTTTTTATTTTGCTATTTCGTTCGACAAATGTCATGTTACTATTCGTAACATCGTGAACGCCATTTTGTACGCCATTTACAACTTTATCTATACCATTAACTCTATAATGATCAACTCCGCTTATTTTTTTTTTACTTGATGAAGGACAAATATTTTTAATTTCTGTTGATCCAGATTCTCCCAAGCCTGCAAGGGCGTAATCTATGCAATTCAAAAGAGACTGATTTATACAAAAATCATTTATACAAAAAAGAATGTATCGAATAATTTTTTTTATGCATATTATTCCTTATACATATATTTTTATCATTAAAAAAATCTATATAATTTAATAATTATACATATCTATATGAGTTAATAAGAAAATATATTCTATACATACCATGTAAATTATGGCAATATTTATTGGTATTATTCCATTCTTCTCGTAGACTGAGATTGAACATGCTGTAATCTGGATTTCCAGTGACTTCTTTTTCGATTGTCAGGAACTGTGGTAATATGTTCTTAAGTTCATCTCCTGATAATGCTGTGTACGTTTCAAGCAGCATCAATCCTCGACATCTATAATCATGTTAAATATGATATATAGTAATAAATTATTTTACTACATAATGTAGTAGCATTTTCTAATTCTGACCTTGGATGAGCGGGTTCTCTATATATATCTAATTGGAAATACTGATTATTGATGAGGAAACAACGTCGACGTTTGAAAATGGTGAAATGTGAATCATCGCGTTGAGCGAGCATGTTCAAATAATCTCGATGAGTCAGTTGTGTTTTAACTTCAATCACTTGGCCACACATTTTTGGACGTCGAATCGTATGAATATAAGACCAGTGACCTGTCAATTTAAATTTATTTATAATATGACATGATATTATTGATATAAATAATATTAATATTAAAAAAGTCATATAATAATTATATTTTTTTGCACACCTTTTTGGCCACGTTTACGAAGACGAGCTTGCATCTTCGGATTGTTACTTTGGAGGTAGTTATGGACAACATCGAAGTCTTGAAACGGTGGAAACTCAGAGTCTGGTGGCAAAGGATCTTTGACAAGAAACTTGACTTTTCTGCTACTCGCTCGTAATCTATCTCCAATATCGATACCCAGTTTTTGGCACACACATTCGATCATACGACAGATCTTTGTCTCAAAATCCTGCGAATTATCTATTACATCGAAGTAAGGATGTCCGACCCAGGCGGCGGCTGCTTTGTAATCGAGTTCCCGAGCTAATTCGACACCTTCTGATCGACATGCATGTTCTTCCGTCGAATAAAATTCTTCCGCACCATTTGCCGCTGAAACCATGTGGATGATTTGATTATATCTATTGTCTCGAAGTTCGACACTATTCCATCCGTTCGAAGCCATCAGTAATTCCCACTTATCCTTTGAAATAACTAAATTGAATAAGATAAAAATTAATTTTAAAATTTAATTATAAAAAAAGGAAAATAAAAATTTATAATTTGCTCACATGCAGAAGCATCCATGGCACCACGATCACAGATAATAAGACAATTTCTTGTACAGCTATCACCTAGCTGGAAGAACGTATTCTCTATCTGTATCATCGTACGTAAAAGATTCTCTTGAAATTTAAATCCTGAAACAAATCAAGATAAATTATGCCTAAAATATTAAATCATTTAATATACAACAAATAAAACTATTTTTGATGATTTCTTTATCCTACAAATCAACTTTTACGCATGAAACTATCCCATTGATCACATCTAGCTGTATACTTTTTTCGCGTTCACACACATTCGCGTTCACAATTATTGCATAATAGCAAACTATGAATTATTTTGAATATACGCATTAATTTATTGTTGTGTAAATGATCACGTATATATTAATATTTCTTTCAGAGAATCACTATATATAACACTGTTACAAGCGTTACAAGCATAACGAAATAATTAATATAAATTTTTTCGAATAAAATATCACTTAAAAAATAATTTTTATATTTTAAATATATATATATATATATATGTTTTGCCTCTTTCTCGACATTATTGCAATGAAAAAACAAATCTTAGATATAAATATATTGAAACGTATTAAAATTATCGTAATAATTCACGCGATAATATCTATTTTGAATAGTATTTGAAAGATAAATATATCATGAAAAAATAAAAATGAAAATATATTTCATTAAGAATATTTTTCAATTTTTAATCTTTTTATTTAACAATTTAAAAAGATTTAAGCAAAGTTCATTTTCATCTGTGCATAATTACTTAAAATTATCTAAATTTTTCATATGTCTTATAAAAAGATAATTTTTGTTATTAAAATATGTGATATTTAATGATATATTTATTTCTTGCATATAAAGTAAATAATACATAATAGAACAACTCTTTTTAATATTGAACATACTAAAATATCAGTAAAATTATGTCCAATTTTATTTTAATACAAATGGATATTTTATATATCGTATGATGATTTTTATAAATAATATCTAATTTATACATATTTCTCATATCCCGATTCAATGTCATATTGATTCAAATGAACATTCAATTTTACACGCTTATGAAATATATCCTCTTCTTAGTTTTTAAAATTCTTTCAATAAAATTCTCTATTAAAAGAATATTTTATGCGTATATCGTTAGACGTATCGTCTGCGTACTCGGGTCAGAGATATGATGTATATATTCCAGACAATTTATGTGTTCGAGTCTTTGTCACGATACGATACTCGGATCGTTGAAAAAAAAAAAAAATCCAATTAATGGAATGACCAATTTCGTCTAGTGGCCTCAATGAAATTCAGCAATAATTCCCAATGATTGACATTTTTGTTATCAAATCGCAATCGGATTCAACGTTTTTCGGTATTGCTAACATGAATACAATATCCTTGTGGTTCTGCGACAAAGAATGGCCGTTCCGATAATATATTAAGTACGTAGAAACGTCTTTACGATTTTACAGATGAACAATGATAAGTATCATGTTATTGATAATGTTAATGATAAGTATCATTATGAATGTTGTGTTCAGAGATGCGATTAATAACATTGAACATTCTAGCAACGAATGATTGCATATTTACATTACGGTTGATGCACTTCTGAAAGTTGAATTAAGAGCAAGGAAAATCGAAAGGCATATTACAAGGTTTACAAGAATCCATTACAAGAAATCAGTTCAATTCCAATAATCAATTCTCATTTCAATCTGAAAAATCTGTTCTCTTTGTAAATTTTCCTCATAGGTGCATATCATCGATCGAAGGTTATCGATCGCTGTATACGCAAAAGCATGATCGAAATATAGAGATATAGAATTAGCGAATGATTGAAAGTATATATAAATGTGCAATAAAAATGATCATGTCTAATGTATCAAGTGTAACAAGATGACATCATTCGATGAATCGCATAGGCAGATTTCTAGCAGCAGAGATCGATTCGATAGCTCTAAGGCGTTTGGACGATTAGCCTCTTTTATTTTCGATATTATATCGCGTGCAGAGATTATCACTTTTTAGGGAAGAAAAAAAAAACTAAGTAAAAAATAAAAAGAATATTTAAAAAAAATAAACTGATCAAGTTTATTCTCTGAAAAATTCTTAAAATCACAATAATATTCTCTGTAAGTATAATATCCTATAATAAATTCTTAAAACTATTAATGTTTAATTTGTCAAAAATCAAATGATTAACTACCATAAAGTTGGTCAATTTTGGTTTTAATAATTGTTTTTTTTAATTACATGAAATGGAAAAAAATTTCACGATCACAAAGAGAAAGAAGAGAACTTACAACGTTGTAAGTAAAAAGGAGAAACGTAATTCGGAAGCGTATAATCTCTGTGATTTTCATATTTTCTTAGAGAAAATAAAAAATAGAGGCTGTTCCTCGTTAGTATCGCCTTCAAAAGGGATGACTTTCTAAAACTCACCCTCACCAGAGTCAACTTCCAAGACCTCTGGCCATCTCGCTTCGTCTTTGTCCGATCTGTTCCTGTAATATCGCTGTGAAGACTTCGTAATCGAAGGACGCGACCCGGATCCCTTTGCTAGAACCAACCGACCTTGAAGACACTTTCAGTTCGGTAAACTTCTGTGTCATGTATTCCCCCCTGTCACGGATTTTCTTTTTTCTTATGCGCAGTTTAATTAAATCGTTCTAGAATGATTTTCATCGTTACGTTAGTCGCGATTTTATGTCCCTCTTTTTATCATCGTTTGTCATCGAAATTGCTTGCACGCTAACTCGTCCTGTCTCCGCGTGTTACGAGGCCTATCGATTCCCCTTGCAATTAATATCTTTCAACAAATTTCCACTAGTTCCATAAACGAGGTACGAATATCGAAAAACAATCAAAATATTTTATTTGAAAAATTTTGATGAAAACAATGAATTTGTTAATAGGTGAAATTAGTATACGTGTATAAACATAAAGCAATATCAAAAAATTTTAAAACATCAAAAAAGAACAAGAATTCATTATTTCTGTATTTAATGATTTGGTATTTTGGTAAGCACGACAAGATAAAATTGTTATCTATCATCGTTGAATTATAATCCAATTTGTTATTTGAATGATTTTATATATTTATTTAATAAACAACAAGTTAAAGCAATTTTTAAAAAATAAAGTTTGAAATTGAGAAACGAAATCTACACGACAACTCACTGGACTAACAAACATATGGTTTCAACAAAAACTTCTGAAAACAAAACTATCACATGGCAGTGTGCAAGTTTTATTTCTTTTTTCACGTCAACGAAAAAGGATACAAGCCGGATCGAGCATTTCTCGACGATCTTTTTACAACAAAGAATTTTTATTACGATTCTCTATAATTCGCGTAAAATTCAAAGCATTCGAAATATTTCGTAATTCTATCAATAAAATTGGACAACTTAAAGTAGATTAACTATCGTGTTTAATAATTGAGCCAATTGCGTTTATCACTATAAAATGATTTACGCTCTCGGTTAATGAAAGTTTTTATGTAATTTTCTCGAATATAGTGCATATACAGAGATCTATAAATGGAATATGGAATTGAAATAAACAATTCGTAAATAGATTTTTAGCGATTGCGTAAATTGATTTGACCTATTCTAATTGGCAATATCTTATCCTAACTGGAAAACTTGTCAATTAACCAGTTATTATTTTTCAAGTTTAATCTTTGGATAGAATCATGATTCATTATTTAGCTACAATGTTAAATTCAATGATAATAAAATAATAAAAATAATAATAATGAAATCGTATTTACACCATATATATTTGTATAATATTAATACAATTAACTTTATTTTTGCCGTTTAATTGCTTTTCATGATCTAATTATGGATATCAAAAAATATTGATCTTTGTATTTTATCAATACATATATTTTTACGCATATATAAAATGATTATTCTTATTTGCAATTATGTCTTATATAAAAATAGGAAGAAATAGATTAACCAATGAACGAAGTTTTTTGATAATTAAAATATATATATTTCAAATAATTAATTATAAAATAGAAAAAAACCGAATAATCAAACCATTGAAATTTTTACTATATTTCATACAAAAAAAAAATATATATTATGCTTGACTAAATATAATATATTATATATAATGTATTATAATGTATAGTAAGAATTTTGCAATCGCTAAAATTGTATTCCATAAAATGTAAAAATAAAAAAAAAAAAATCGAACTTTTTAATTCGAATAATCGAAGTTTTTTTAAGTTTTTCTAAGTTTGTCTTAACTCATCATGATTTAAAAATAGAAGAAAATGTTTCTCTTGGATAAATTGTTTTAAACTCATGACTTGTTTCATCGTTTTTCTCGGTGCACTTGTTTAATCATCGTGGCAGGCTAAACACCTTTGCAAGGATCCGGCTTGAAATATAATTTAATTTCTACATTACTTTTTCATCTGTATGCGGTATTTGAAGTTAGAAGAGTAGATTCAACATCGTATTTCCTGAAGCACGACCCTTTCATTTGACCTCTTTCAACTCTCACCTTCTACGAATCTTTGAATTTTCTTCGTAAAAAAGATTCAAAAAACGATTAATAAATAATATTTTCTGTATTATCCGAAAAATATATTTTTCGATACGATAATTTATCGTTTTTGTGATAAAAAAAAAGGGAATAGCAATATCTTAATGAAAAAATCTTAATGAACAAATTTATTTCGAAAAATAGAAAAAAAAGAAGCAATGAAACTAACGACTTTGTCTAGACAAAGTCATTATTGGCGCATAGCCAAGTAATTATATACGTAGAGTAACGACGATAAAGAGAATCCAACAATCGAATGCATACATTAAATATAAATTTATTAATAATCGATGTTTGGTATAAAATAACTTATTACGAAGTGTCTATCGATGAATTGAAGGATGTATATATAAAGCATACTCATCACAACCGACCTACATTAATTAATGAATATTTTATCGTACATAGATAACGGTAAAGAACGATAAATTCTAGTCATTTCATTATCACAAATATATTATGGCGGTTTTTATAAACTTCGTTGAAAGAAATTTTTAAACGAAATATATGTTCTCTGGAATAAATGCAGTCAATCATAATAAAAATCAATTATCAATGTCACTTGGATTATGCGTATATAATAAAGGAGAATATATAATAAAGGAGAAGCCAAAAGGAGGATTTAATTACAGGAAGCCCGATTGTATTAGCATTTCAAGGTCGTGGATTAGAGCTGATAAATACTTTTATATAAGTAGAGATACGAGCAAAGGAGTACAAGGAAGATATGTTTTTACAGATATACAAAGAATTATTAATGATTTAAAATACAATTTTCTACGCGGAATTTGAATCAAGAATCTGGCCATCGTTGTTGGACTGCGACTAGTTACATTAAACAATTTAACAATCGTGTTTTCGTGTCAAATAATCTGTTGGAAGTTTCGAAAACTATGAAACTGGTATTTTACTCTTAGATATAGGATGAGGTAATGAATCTGGCAAGAAATCGGGGATGATATATCACGAATTACACGTTTCATAATATATATAACATAACATAGATAGATTGAATCAATAGCGATAATAAAAAATAACAAATTTCAAATAAGATAAGTTATAGATATATTACATAGTTTCGATGAAATTTTTGATCTCAATTTTCTGTTACATAATTGTAATACGTGTGATGTATTATTATCTTATGGTCTCAATCTAATCTTCTATCTAGGATGTATAAATAGAATGGAAAATTTGCACGAATCGATGAAAATTTCTCGGTAGATCTCGGGTTAAGTGGTGAACAAACGATCATTTTGTTTTCCAAATATTTTTACTGCTATCGAACGAACAGATATCGTTTATCTACCAGGATAATTTGTTGAATTTATTTAAAAGATGGCAAACATTTCAATGTTCGATTACGTTACGATGAAGCTACCGATGAAAGTAGAACATCGAGAGAAGAAATGAAAAAAAGAAAAAAAAAATATTTTTGTTATTTTTGGCGTTATTTCAAGAATATATACCAGTCAATTGTGTGTAGCTACTAGCTGTAATTCTATGACAAACGTTATGAGAGATTTTTTTACGAAAATTCGTTATGATAATCGTAACCTATAAATCACTATGATAATGTAATTAAGTATATTATGTAACAAGGATATTACTATCCTTCTTACATAAAAGCGTTCTACGGAATATACTTCGGATACCGATCATTGAATTTATTAGTTTTGATTCTAATATTACTTTATACTGTGATTAGTCATGTATGATTAATCCAGATAATGAGTTACTGGCAAGCAGAAAGGGTTTAACGATGACCTATCGAAGAAAAGTACGCCACCCAGAATGGAATATTGAAAGAATATCTATATTATATATATTTATAAAATAATTATGCAAAATCAACATTTTAAAAAAGTAATTTTGAATATTTATATGTTATGAAACCATAAAAATTTAAATATTTATGTTTTGTCAACGACGAGACAACGAATGTTCAAAATGAATTGATAATTAGGTCCACTCGAAATGAAATATTAGTTTATTTATTTGTTGATAAATTTCTGTGGTCAAGTTAACGACAAATATTTTTTTACGTCTAATAAAATTAAAAAAAGATTTTTAAAGGATTCTAAGAAAAACTTCTTTTCTAGAAAAGATTTTAAAAGATTTCGAATTTCGTTTTATCATCGAACAGAAATCGATCTCCTTTTTTTCTCGTTTTATTATTATTGTTATTATTATTATTATAATTATTAGTATTATTATTATTTCAATCGATTACCAATTAAATAATAAATATAATATGCGGATCATTTTATATCATTTATACGAGTTGATCGTTCCAAAACACCGTGCGCGTCTCGTGACTCGATCGCGTTGACCACTTGAAGCGAGAATCTTGGCAAGTTGCCGGTTTCGATTTTACGCAATCGTCGATGTTATACACCGGCCATTCTTCTTTAGTCCACCCGCAACCAACTGTACGGATTCTTCTTCTCTTTAATGCGCGCGATATCTTTTTCTTTTTTCTTCTACGTTTCCATACGTTTTCATGTTTTTAAAATAAAATTGTTTTTCTCGTTGCGTCGGTTCATCCGTTTCAACGTTTTACCTGTATTTGACAGAAGTACGTTGATAGAGTGTGATGCAGAATGACGTAACATTGCGTAATTTGATATAAATTCACGTTACAAAAAAAAGATACATTTATTTGAATGATTGATCATCATTGATTATTATATACGACTTTGACTATTGCATACTATTTGCATATCATTATTCAAATTAAAAATATCTTTTTTTTATTATTCAATTACGAATTTTTCCGATGCCGAGAAACTACGTAGCTCCGTTCTTATCTCGTTTCCAGTATTTTATACGAGAAATACACATATAGGTTTGTTTTATAAAGCTTTAAAACTTTATTCGAGTTTGCGATGGCATTTAAAATATTATCTCAATTTCTGAATTATCGTATCGGCGTATATCTATTTGAAATTTCGTCCAAAGACAATTCGGATGTTTTATCGTTGAAAGACAAATATCGTTGAGGACAGGTGACAAATATGAACAATTTAAATTTGTTATTGAAAGTGATTTCGGATTGATAAAAAGTTTTGATGATGGTCGATGCATACACAATGATATCTACATTTAAACGGCGGCAAGGGGTAAAATGTGAGGGTATGAGAAGTGCTCGCGCGGACCAACGATCGATACTGCTCTGACATTGTGTCTCTCCTCAAACTTGCGTATCAACTACACCATAATCGCGAGACAATCTTGTTCTGTTTTCTAATTTTCATTAAAAAATGTTATTAACTTCAATATTTGTCGTAAAAACAATTCATTATGGTTAGAAATATTTTATAAGAAAAAGCTGTGAATATTTATTTTTTTAATTCCTTAAACGGTTATTCCATATATATTCATCAGATATTATACTGCTTCCAAATTATGAACTTTTTCATAACATTCAAAACATTCAAATTTCTTTAAAATTATAATTTAATTAATTAAAATGAGCAATATACAAAAAAGAATAATATAATAATAGAAGATTTGTTATTACGAGAATTTGTACAACTATGCAGTATATCTTCAATGATGAATCATAACGATTAAGAGATTAACTAGGAATTAATTTAAATCTTTAATTTAGTTAGTCAATATTTTAGATTTGTCTGTAAAAGTTAAGAAATAAATTGAACCTTAGATACCTTATATTGAGAAAATATGAAGTTTGCTCATTGATTATGGCGTAAACATTGCATATTTAAGTTTCATAAAAAAAAGTTGGATTTGAATTATAAAGTTATAATTTGATAAAAAAAAAATGGATACAGATGAGTTTTCGTTGGCGAAGATAAGCGCGCAGACATAATAAAAGCGGTGAAATATAAATTTTGCAGTTGGGTAATGTTTTTCTTCTCGTAGAAGACTCGTAAACGTTTTGTTGCGAGTGTTTTTTTATCAGTGTCGTAAACTCGAGCCAAGGCACACATAGTAGCGGAATTCCAGGAAAGGGAAAGCATGGATAACGCATAGTACATGAAACGCGGATTTAAAATGCGGCGGTAGGTTGAACCGGATACGCGTATTCGAAACGGATGCGAAACTAAAGCTAGAGAAGAATGGTAGAAAATGAAAAGTTGAAGTGAACTTACCCTCTTCAGCGTTCAGGTCTGAATACTTTACGCCGCCGCTGAAATGGAAAAAGTAGAGGAAAGATGAAACTATTGATAAACTAAAATATGATAGATAAAGAACTTTTGGAAGAGTATCGATCTTTTTTTTTCTTTGACTTAAAAAAACAATATAATGTATGTGAAAGAAAATTGTTTGTTCGTTTATCGGGTATGATAATTCATATTGTTAAAAACTTCCCATGTGACGATACTCTCACGTGTTTCGTTTTTTTTTTCTTTTTTTTTTTTTTTTTTTTTAAGTTTATTATCGACATGCTAATCTCGACGCTAAAATAGACTTCGTGCACAATGCACGTATTCGTCGAATAAGTGGTTCTCGTGATACATGCGCAGCGTTCTTTCGAATCAATTGATTTTACACTTGATGATTCATCGTTTGTCACAATCAGGATATAATTTTATGCAACTTCTATAAGCTCTGGTTCCGATCGCTGACAAAGGATGTTGAAGTATACCGTACTCCAATGTTTTCTTTCGTCGCTGATAAAATCGCAAATCGTTTCTATGCTATCACCATTGTTACGTCTTATTAGTACGATTCTATGTCTCAATCAATAATTCTATGACTAGACAGCGAAAGGTAACGGAATAAGCTCGAAACGAAAATTTAAACGTATGAATTAAAGCGATTCTTTGTGAGCTGGAAACCGAGTCCGTTTCTATCAATATTTGAAAATAATAAAAGAACGCAATTTTGTGAATTCTTTTAATTTGTAAGATTGAAAGAAACGATGGGGAATCTCCAAACGATTTCCAAGCATATTTGAGTAGCTTCGAATTCATACAAAACTTTCGTTTTTTGGCTGTATCTGTTCTTTCCACTGAACATATTTATAAATTTGTTATCGTGTAATTGCATACCTGAGCAGCACGGTCGCTGTCTCGGGAACACGGAACACCTGAAAAAGAAGACAACCAGCGCTCTATCGAATCCAAATCGAAGGGTTATAACCAAAATCAGTTCGTATATTCAGTTCATTTTTTTTTTATTTTCATTATATTCATTTTAATCGATCACGAACGAAATTTTAATTATTTCCAAATATTGTATTAAGGTTATTGTAAACGATTTCGAGAAGATAAATAAAATATTTTTTAACAAATTTTAAAGGTAAAAAAAAATTGTGTGCATATAAAATCATATACAGTAATCCTTTTGCTGTTAGATAAAACTTGCGAAAACTTACAAAGACAAAATTATGAAGACTACAAGATTAGACAAAAATAACAAAATAAAATAAATGGATTTGCTTATATAATATAGTCTAATTATCTTATTGTTCGACGAATTTTCTTATTAATCGGAGAGTACTCAATTGTTTGGCGTGTTTGTTTTATTTAAATCAAATTTTTATCAAAGAGATAGGCTTACGTAGGAATAATTTATGAGACATTTTTTTTGTAAAAAAGTGTCACTTTTTTATTATTAAAAAAAAAAAGCGAAATAAAAAACAGAGCGGAACATGCCTACCTTCCATCCCAAGTTTTCAAAGAATGTGCATAGCCGTGCCTGTCCAGTTGTTTTGCCGCCGCAAGGTCCTGAAACAAACAATGAAAAAATTCTTAAGCCATCTCATTTCTTTTTTTTTATCTTTCAACTTGGAATTTCGGTTGTTTTGTTTTTCCGTAATATGACAATATAATTATTCGAAAAAGAGAAAATGCTTGAAAGGAAATAAATGATTAAAAAAAAGCAAAATTTTTTGTTTGAATATATATTGATTATATCATTAGATTTAACAACGTAAAACAAATGGTATAAAAGACATATCTATATCTAAACGTAGAGAATGTAAGAAGGTACGTGGTGGCATGAAAGTACGGATTATTCTTGTCATACGAAAGCAAAACGAAAAGGTTATGACGTCGCTAACCTTGACTTCCGCGATACCGCATGGCTATTGAACTCGAGTAGCGTAAATAGAAATGTCTTTGATGCGATCAGCATCCCAAATAATGAAATCAGATTGCAACAAATCCAGTGCAAATTTCTATCTTTTTAAATCGAATTAATCTCTTTAATTCATTCTAATTATAAAATTAAAAAAAAAAAGTGAAAAATAAAAAACTATAGATTTTAACAAACTTAAAAATTTTCATTAATATATATGAAAATATATATATAAAAATATTGTTTTTTTTTCCGATATGTTTGAACATGTTTATTATTTTTATTAAACTTTGAATAACGCTGACGGATGAAATGATTCGCGATTAAAAAATATTTCTTGAAACATTTAAGATGTATATTAATATATTTCAAGTGATCGACCATCCATGCGCCATTAGCCAGCTGCACGCTCATTGACTCGTAATTGGTTTGAATTGTCACACGTTGACATGAACACGATTTCATTAATATCGTGAATTGTGAGAATTTCTTTGCTAGAAATCTTCGAGATCCAACCATCTACACATAAATTTGCAATAGAATTTTTGGCTTCTAGAAATTAATTTTCGAAAATATCAAATGTATTTTGAAAATTTCAAAAAAGATTACTTACATACGAAATGTAAATTATTATAACATGAATATCTATGAATATTGTTTTATTATAAATATAAATACGACATTTATGTATTGTAATTTGTCAGAATTTATTAAACAAAAAAATATTTATTATACAAAAAAATATATTATAACTATTATATTTGATATATATATAACTAATAGAATAATATTTCTGAAAAAAAATCGATTGGTATGCAAGATATAATTGAATATTATTACAATCAATTAAGTAAAAGTAATTGTAAAGGTTAATAGTGTTTATATTGGCATGAGTGTTCGATTCGAGGCTATCGAAGGATAGATCATTGATTACTAGGATCTTTCTTTAATAATTCTAGAACAATCGTTTTATTTATGACATCAAATTCACTTTGCTTAATTGATCTATTTATATATAAGATTTTTTATAGAAATTGAAATTGATCCATTGAGTTCTACTTAATTTTCGAACGCAAATTGGAATGTATATATATGAAAAATAAATTTTAATGTATCATATTGTCATGATGTCATGCTATGATTTGAAAAATCATGTTTTCGACGATTTAAATTTAGACACGTCAATAATGTTAAAATAGTTATGTTTCTATAACATTTCAAATTATTTCATTTTATTTGCGTTATCCATCTTAAAATAAATTACACGTTGCTAAGTTTTACAAGGTTAAAAATTTTATGTAAATAATAAATAAATCTTTTAAATTTATTCATAAATGATGAATAATGAATAATGATTTTATTCGAATTTAAGTTTGCATTTATAAAATTTTTATAGAAAGAAAATTCAAATGATTGCGATCATATAGTCATATATATGAATAATTTTTTATAAATAATTATAAAAAAAATGAATTTAAACATATATATGTAAATTCAAAGTAAAACGATACAATTCGTGTTTCATTCAGGAATTCAATCAATATTTTCACACTACTGATAAGCACGTAAAGCATCCTGCATGTAAAATGACTGTCACAACGGAAAGAAGTTATTTTTCGTTCATTTGTGTGTAAAAATGAAATTTGATAAGCAAAAAATACGAATTGATTAGAACAGTTATAAAGCTGTTGGAACACGTGGTTTACATCGATGTGTATAGATCGCTCCTTTCAAGATATTTTTCTAACAAATATCGCAAATAATCAAAAATACGAAAATTGAAAATGTATGTAGAAGTAATATCTATTTTATCGAATAAATGTTTTGTAAAGTAAACGATACATGAAATATATAATAATGAATTTTTTATTAGTTAAAAAAAAAAATAACATACCTCCAGTGAGCACCAATTTGTATAGACGTTTCTGCTCCATATTAAATGAATATTTAAAAACTCTTTTTTGCTGATCAAATCTACGAAATGTTTCGAGTCGATGTCGATGTATGGATGGAGATAGATTCTTCGTCTGGCACGTGAATGGTGTCTACAGTTACAACGAATACTACATGAACACTTCACCGTTCATTTCGATATACTGCGGAGTTAGATATGTCGAAGACATGAGAATAAAGTGATGATATTTTTACACAGAAAAACAGTAAACTACCACTTGAGAGAGCAGACGTCTGCCTCAAAATGAAGCGGTCTGCATCTGCGGGTTAGTTAATCGGCTTATACTATTCTCTTCTGTATGTATGGTCATGCGCGATACGGAAACGTACGAATCTACGAGCGCCTCTTACGAAATTACCCGAACAATACTTCGTACGTTAGATATTTCATTTAATTTTCGACTATTAATATTAATTATTAATTTTAAAAATTTTATCGAAAAAATTATTCTCTTTTTTTTTTTATTTTCAATTACGATAATGCATAATTTGAAATTTTAAAATTAAACGATTTACGTGGTCATAGCGTATTCGTTGGTTATGCTTGTAGAAGATACAATTTTTAACTTGTTTCTTAATGTTATATATAAGTATAGTGGCGCTTTTTTAAAGGATTTTGCGCGGTGAATTTAATTTGGTAATTTAATAGAAAGAAATGTAGAAGCAGTTTATATAACACCTCTTTATCTTTCCATAAATCGTTACCTGTACAATAGCTATAAATTACAGCAACCTTTTTTAAGCATATAATAAAACATTTCCACTTGTTTTTACAACGAAATTAATTTACAATATTTTCTTTTGTAAGCCGCTTTTTCAAAAAAAATCAATTACAATATACGTCTGTAAAATATATTTATTTTCGCAGATGAATATTGCGTATTTTGTTAGTTAGAATACAACCAAAAGATACAAACATTAATTTACATATTTATTTTTAATATTTAGAAATATAGTCTTATGTATTTGATCTCAACGATATCATAATTTTGAATATTTTTCTTACGTTTTCACATCTGTTCATATTAATAGAACATCTGTTCATATTAATGAGATATTATGTTGTCAGTCTATCGATATTCTGTGAGCAGACGTAATAATATCTAAGTACTTATCGCGTATTGACGTTTCGCGATCATTATGAACGCGTGTACATGCATTTAAAGGCACGAAAACAAACGTGCGTACTATAAAATACTTTCACCGTTATTATTAATAAGATAAAGGCATCAAGAGAAAAAGAGAAATTGGAATTAATACTCAGCTTTTCAAATTAGAGATTTAAATGATTTTAATATAGTCTTTTTTATCTGAAAACTGTTACGTTTGATAATTTCATTCAATGCGAAATCGTAACATACAATATTTTAAATGTTACATTCTTGTAACGATATAATTTTTACAAAATATTTTTGTTACATTGCATTTCCAAATATTACATTGCATTCCAAATATATTTGTGCATTATGAACCATCTGTTTTAAGTATAATTACATTTATAACTTCAACAGTAAGAAAGTGTATTTTTTACACAAACTTTATATATAGAGTATATAAGCACTTTTAATATGTTAAGTATAGTGTGATATTGAATATAATAAAGGGTATGTGAAGAGAAAGAAACAGAATTAAGGATATCAGCTTGACTGTATTCAATTTCCTATTTACAATCTATCTTTACTAATACACACGCCTATGACGTGCTTTTTTAAATTTAGATAAATAGCACCGAGAATTGAACAATATATAAGAAGAGAAACAACCTTCGTGTCTACTTAAGTATAATTCGCGTGATTTTTCGAAATAATTCGTTTATATGGAACGTCAATAAGAATTACTTATTATAGGTAATTGACGTATCGCATACAAACAATTAATGCATTTAGCTTATCTAATTTTAAGGCAAGAGTTCTTTGCGTTTTATACAAATTCATACAATATTTATCATTCTCTTTACCATTTGTTCCCCGAGTTTTCTTTCAATAGTCATGCCTACTAATAATAAACAGATGCATATTTCGCATTGCGTACATAATAAAATAACTTTTAAGCTATTTTGTACTCCAAAATTGGTACGCAAATATTTCTTCAGTTTGATATGAAATTCTATTTCAGAGAAACTGCAAATGTACAGAAAGGCAATATTCTAATTCATACTGTTTTGTACCAAAAAAGAAGCAATATTTTTATTTTTCGTTTTCTATTTAAAGAAGAATTTGAAAATTTTTCTACATAAGATAATTTCGATTTTTTAACAAAATTTCTTACTTTTTAAATATTCAATGACATTTGATCAATAATATTTTTTTGAAATGTTAATATTTTTTTCTATACAGCCTTCACAGTTTAGATATAATTTACTTAACTTATTATATAGGAGAATTAATAATATAAAAAGAATTGGGATTAGATTTTGAATTCAACTATGACTCATAATGTTGAAACATAATATTTGTAATATTATATAATATTAAAAAAGAATAAGTAATATCATTAATGGTTTCTATCAATACATCATTCATATCCACTTATATTCATTAAAAAAATAATCTGTAATATGATATACATAATAAATAGATATATTATGTAATGAATATTCTTATCATAATATCATCATAAAAAGGCTTTTGCAATGGAGCACTTTCTGCTATTCAATTTCCCTGAATAAAAGAATTAATTTATTCAAATTATTTTGTATAATTACTATTAGATTTAGGATTCATTTTTTCAAGGAACTGAATAAAAGTGTACCCGAAGATATAAACTTATAATATCTAAATATTTGTGTATTATTTGTACTGTTGATCTGTATCTAAAGGTATAAAATTTGTTTTTAGTAGTTGTAAATTATATCTATTTCTGTAATTATTTAATTTATTTTTTTAACAAAACAAAAACGAAATTTCACAAACAACAATGAAATAAAAATTTTATCTATTAAGCAATATATAAAGATTGTATATATTAGTACATTATATTATTATCATCATGATACTAAATGAATTTTTCAATCAAAAATTGAATTTTAATCTAAACATTTATTTAATAAAAATAAAACAATATATTTTGATGATGATTTCTTTTTATATATTCTTATTTTTCTTTTTTTAATTTAATCGTAGCACTCAATAATTTTGTCTAATGAATTCATTATTGCTTTTTAAATATATGTACAATACAAATATATGTATGTACAAAGATATAGCAAATTTTAGTGGAAAACATCTTACAATATAAATAAGAAAAATAGCAGAAAAGAAGAAAAACAGCATATTTTTTAACAAAGTATATGCGCAGTTTAGTTATATCAAAAATTTATATACGTTATTATATTTTTGTTGCGAATATTTTATAACATTTAATTAAATTAATTAAATTTCATTAAATTAATGAACATCTTTGCCAGTAATCTTATGTACCATGCAATATAATTCTTTGTTCACAATAAGAATATGTTTTATTAAAAGACTGAGTAAAAAATATTAATTGAATAATTCGAATTGATAAAAAAGACAATATTAATAAATAAAACTTTTACTATAAAAAATGATTTACCAAAAAAAAAAAAAAAAAAAAAAAAAATATTGCAAGTCTTTTTGCAAATAAAATTCTATTATTTACTTACAATTTCTGATTTTCTAAATTTAAATTGTTTACAGATACAAATGAGTTATAATAAACTTTGAAAAAACCAGAAAGATTTTAGAAATAATATAATACATTATTTATTACACAGAGTGTATAAAAAAAATCTGGATAAAACTTTGAATAAAAATTTAATGTGCTATAATAAAAAAAGTTCGTATAAACATATTTTTTAAAAAATTTCATTACTTTATGATCAAACTTCACATAATTTCATTAAAGTTGAATTTGATTTAATTTTATTATATTTAACAATTTACTACAATTTAACATATTTGAAACATTTACATTAAATTTAACATTAACATTAATATTGATTTCTGAATATATGAACTTTTCTTTCTCTTTTTAACACATAGATAATTCATAGACAAAGTTTCATCCAGTATGCAAAATATATATTGCACAATAATATAAGTAAATTTGAAGAAAGTGATCCATTGATAATATTTGTCATATTAGTTGCCCAACACACTATGTATCATTTTTATAAAAATATTGTAAGTAAATTATGGCAATAATATTCAACAATTACAATATTCATGCAATAAGTAACTGGTAACAATGGTCGGAGTGGTAACGCTTTGAATATGTAGCAAATATTGGGAGAGTTTCTTAAATATTATGCATCATACCAATCAATTCTTTGCACAAATTTTAAAGGTATACCCATATGAAGTAATTGATCTTGAGACTTATGCCTTAAATCTGGATAGTAATAAATCAATGCTTGCCAACATATTTCTGATAATTTAGGAATTGTTAACCAAACAGAATGAACTGCATCTGTTCTTACAACCTGCAATAAAATTTTTTAGAATTTAGATGTATGAATATTAAAATAAGAAGACAAATAAATAAAAGAATTATAATAACCTTATTATTTTCTTTAATAATACCACCAAATGTATACATGCGTCCTTCTGGAGTAAGAGCTGCAGAATGAAAATATACAGGACATGGAAGTATACATTTTCTTAAACATGTCCATTGCAATAATTTTAAATCTAGTCTCCAAACATCAGAAAAAACATGATCTCCATTATATCCTCCAGAGATTACAACTGATGTGATACCTGATTTTTCATCTGTATATTGTACAGATCCATGACAGCGTCTAGGTTCTGGCACTGTATTATCATCATTATCACCATATGTATTTAATATTATCCACTTATTTGTTTCTAAGTCAAAAGCAGGAATCTCCTAAACATGATTTTCATTTCAAAGTATTTAACTCAAATCCAAAATATTATATTCTAAAAAATTATATTAAAATTTACATACTGAGAAACCAAATGCTTCTGTAGCTGTTCCTCCTCCCAAAACATATATAAGTTTTCCATCAAAAGCTAATTCATGCCTATATCGTCCTGTAGGTTCACTTTGATCTCTTCCAGAACATATATAAACAGTTTCCCAAACACCAGTCCTAAGATCAAATCTATGAATATCACAAGTATATTCGTATCCTGTAGTACCACCAACAGTATATAAATATGACCCATGACATACTAAAGCTTGTCCATATTGGGGTTCAGGTAATTCTCCTTTTGCAGGAACTATGTACATTTTACCATCATTAACATTGCACACATAAAGATGATTACTACAACTATG